CTTCAATAGAGCACAACAGCGGCCTGAGACAGAAATGTTAGCACAGGAATGTGGCAGTGTTTTGAAGTGGCAAGCAACTGGAAGCTTGGAGTCATTTTGTGCAGTCAGAACGCTGGTGTGCTGCAAAGTAGTTACCCAATCTGTGTTTCATCTCCCCCTCTCTTCCACGCACTCCCCGCCCCCAACAACCCACAACCACCACCACCACCACCACCGGCTAAACGAGACCACTTTGTGAGCATTGCATACAGTAGACAAGATTGAATGAAGTTCAAGTAAATCGCTGCTTCACCTGGAAGGTGTTTCTGAGGCCTTTTTAGCGAGGAGGGAGGAAGTAAACAGACAGGTTTTACACCTTCTGTGATTGCATGGGAAGGTGCCTGGGGTGTTGTTGGGAGTGGAGAAAGAATGGACCAGGGTGTCCTGGAAGGAACGGTCCCTGCAGAAGGCTGACAAGGGAGGAGAAGGGGCAATGTATCTGGCAATGACATCCTGCTGAAGGTGGAGCAAATGGCAGCTGATGACCCTTTGTTTGCAGCTGGAAAGTTAGCTGGGGCACCCTGTAGTTGTGGGAGGGTTTTTTTTCATTCATTTGTGGAACGTGAACATCGTTGCCTGGCCAGCGTTTATTACCTGTCCCTAGTAGTTGCCCTTGAGAAGGTGGCGGTGAGCTGCCTTCTTGAACTGCTGCAGTCCACCTGCTATGGGTTGACCCACAATGCCCTTAGGGAGGGAATTCTAGGACTTTTACCCAGCGATGGTGAAGAAACAGTGATATATTTCCAAGTCAGGGTGGTGATATCTTGGAGATGTACTTGAAGATGGTGTTCCCATGTATCTGCTGTCCTTGTCCTTCTCAACGAAAGTGGGTTTGGAAGGTGCTGTCTGAGGATCTTTGGTGAATTTCTGCAGTGCATCTTGTAGATGGTACACGCTGCTGCTACCGAGCGTCGGTGGTGGAGGGAACGGATGCTTGTGGATGTAGAGCCAATCAAGCGGGCTGCTTTGCTCTGGATGGTGTCAAGCTTCTTGAGTGTTGTTGGAGCTACACCCATCCAGGTAAGTGGGGAGCATTCGATGATGACTTGTGCTTTGTACACTTCGGGGAGTCAGGAGGTGAATTATTCTTTGTCTCTTACCTGCTCTGGTAGCCACTGTGTTTATGTGGCGAGTCCAGTTGCGTTCCCAGTCAATGATAACCCCCAGGATGTTGATAGTGGGGGATTCAGTGATGGTAACACCATTGAATGTCAAGGGGTAGTGGTTAGATTGTATCTTATTGGAGATGGTCATTGCCTGGCATTTGTGTGGTGTGAATGTTACTTGTTACTTGTCAGTTCAAGCCTGGATATGGTCCAGATCTTGTTGCATTTGAACATGGACTGCTTCAGTATCTGAGGAGTCGTGAATGGTCCTGAACATTGTGCAATCTTTGGCGAATATCCCTACCTCTGACCTTATGATGGAGGGTAGGTCATTGATGAAGCAGCTGAAGATGGTTGGGCCTAGGACACTACCCTGAGGAACTCCTGCAGAGATGTCCTGGAGTTGAGATGACTGACCTCCAACAACCATCACCATCTTCCTAAGTGCTAGGTATGACGCCAAACAGCAGAGAGTTTGGCTCCTTGATACCACACTATTTTGAATGTGGCCTTGATATCAAGGGCTGTCACTCGCACCTCACCTCTGGAATTCAGCTCCTTTGTCCATGTTTGAATCAAGGCTGTAATGAGATCAGGAGCTGAGTGGCCCTGGCAGAACCCAAACTGGGCGTCACTGAGCAGGTGATTAATGAGCAGGTACTGCTTGATAGCAGTGAAAGAAAGGGGTGAGAGCAGAAACGCAGGAAATGTATTGGACGTGGCTAAGTAATGTGTCAACTACAGTGGTGGGGAATCCTTGGTTGAGGAAAAAGGTGGATATTTCAGAGGATCCTTTGCAGCAGGTGGCATCATCAGAACAGGTCTGATGGAGACAGGAACTTTGAGAATGGAATGGAGTCCTGACAAGAAGCAGGGTGGGGAGGCATAGTCACGGTAATCAAGCGAGTTCATGGGTTTGTAATGGATATGTGGCCAGCCTATCCATTGAAATGTAAAGGCATCCCTTCCTCTAGCCCCACTTCTTGGTGGGTATTTATGATGTGGAAGTTCTGGTGTTGGACTGGGTCGGACAAGGTCAAAAATCACAGGAAGGGACAACGCTCCAAAAGCTTGTGTTTTCAATTAAATCTGTTGGACTATACCTGGGGTCGTGTGGTTATTTACCATACCTTCTGACAGTGTGGGGGTAAAGGGTCTTTTTCAGGATGCTAGCCAGTGACTAGTGCAGTTCCATAGTGGTCAGTGTTGGAACCATAACTATTCACAATATTCATTAACAATCTGGATGAAGAAACTGAGGGCATTGTTGCTACGTTTACAGATGACAAAGGTAGGTGCAGGAACAGGTAGTGTTCAAGAGGCAGAGAAGCTGCAAAAAGGACTTGGACAGACTAGGAGAATGGGAAAAGAAGAGGCAAGTGGAATACAATGTGCAAAAATGCAAGCTTATGCAATCTGGGAGGAAAAATAGAGGCATAGACTATTTTCTAAATATGGAAAGACTTTGGAAATTTGAAACACAAAGGGACTTGGGACTCTTAGTTCAGGATTGTCTTAAGGTTAACCTGCAGTTTTAGTCATCGGTTAGAAGGGCAAATGTAATGTTAGCATTTATTTAAAGAAGGCTCGAATACAAGAGCAGAAATGTACTGCTAAGGCTGTATAAGGCTCTAGTCAGACAACATTTGGAATACTGTGAGCAATTTTGGGCCCTGTGTCTAAGGAAGAATGTGCTGGTATTGGAGGGAGTCCACAAGAATGATCCCGGGGTTGAAGGGCTCGTCATATAAGGAGCAGTTGATGACTCTGGGTGTGGACTCAATTGAGTTTAGAGGGATGAGGTGGGACCTGATTGAAACTTACAGAATACTGAGAGGCCTGGATAGGGTGGATGTGGAGAAGATGTTTCCACTAGTGGGAGAGACTAAGACCTGAGAGCACAGCCTCAGAGTGAAGGGATTACCCTTTGGAACTGAGATGAGGAGGAATTTCTTCAGCCAAAGACTGCTTAAGCTATGGAACTCATTGCTGCGGAAGGCTGTGGAGACCAGGTTATTATGTGTATTTAAGACATAGATAGGTTCTTGATTAATAAGGGGATCAAGGGTTACAGGGAGAAGGCAGGATAATGGGGTTGAGAAACACAGCAGCCATAATTGATTGGCAGAGCAGACTCAATTGGCCAAATGGCCTAATTATGCTCCTATATCTTATTGTGTCATGCTCTCTCATGCTGAATAATTTGTACTCAGTAAAGGACTTAGTTTTATCCCTTCTCACCCTACCATAATGAATTTTGGGCATGACATGATGTTGAGCCATTTTTCATCACCTTCACTTCTGCACCCATTTCTTTAGACAAGACTCCACTCCCTGACAGACCCCCTCTCCAGCTTCCAACATTCTCCATTCACCTTGACCCTTCCCTCATATCTCTTAACTGCACATGACCTGTTCATTCAGAACTGTCCACATGGTATCAGTCCAATTAATTTCTCCACTCTCCTCACTCATTCAAACATAGCTTTCTCTAAACTGACATCACCCCGTCTTCTCAACCCTGACTTTTTAATCAAACTTGCTGTCAAGGGTACTGCTGTTGTTGTCTTGTATACCAACCACTATCTTACGGAGACTGAGCATTATGTCTCAGACACCCCCTTCTATCTGCCCTGGACAATGGCCCTCCTGTCAAACGTCAAGCTATTGTTTCACTAACCTCATCATCTGGGGATCTCCTGCCTCACCACCACCACCCCTGGCCCACCCATCTTCCCACCTCAGTTCCCCAACTATGTATGACCCACTTCTATCTTCCTCTCAAAATCGACAAGCATGACTGCCTGGGCAGACCCATTGTTTCTACTGTCCCTGCCCTATGGAATTTATTTCTTCCTACCTTGACTCAATATTTTTTCTCCCCTAATGCAGTCCATTCCTATTTACATCAGCAATTCTTTTTACACTTTATATCAGTTTCAAAATTTCTAGTTTGCTGCCTCCACCTGCCTCTTCTTCCCCATAGATGTGTGATCCCTCTACACCCAAGGAAATTCTTTGTTGAGAAAAACAGAAAATGGTGGGAATCTGGAACTTACTACCTGTAAGGCTGGTAGAAGTAGAAACCCTTATAGCACTTAAGAAGTATTTAGATGTGTACTTGTGATGCCAAGGCAGACAAAGCCACGGAGAGATAGTAAGAACTGCCGATGCTGGAGTCAGAGATAACACTGTGGAGCTCGAGGAACACAGCAGGCCAGGCAGCATCAGAGGAGCAGAAAAGCTGACGTTTCGGCAAGGCCATGGGACAAGTGCTGGAAAATGAGACTGGAATAGTTTGATAGTTGCTTTTGATTGTGCTATAGACGTTTATGACTCCCAAATTTCAACTAGATTTGGAAAGATTTACCTTTTGTAGCTTTACTGCTTTTGATGTTTCTTTTGATACTTTCTCTGACTCCCTAGGTATCCAAAGTTAAAGCCAATGCAGCCAGGGTTGCTTGCTAACCATTAGCAGAGGACCCCAGAGCATCTTCCAAACACAAGTCTCTAGAACTTAAGGACAATAACCCCTTCTTATTCCAGAAAGTGTCATAGTGAACTTCTATCTTCCAGTTTTCCCACTTAATTCATATAAAATATAGTCCCAACAATACAGAGGAGAAAGAAAGGAAAAAGAGAGAGTGAAAAAGGAAAGAAGCAGAAGAAAAGGATTTAAAAAAAGGAGACAGATAGAAAGAGGGAAAGGCAAGATTAAAGAAAAGGGAGATAAAAGGGTATGCAGGGTAGTTTGATCTTTGTAGGATAATAGGTCAGCACAACATTGTGGGCTGAAGGGCCTATACTGGGCTGTACTTTTCTGTGTTCTAAAAGAAAAACTCTGGAACATTTAAATTGAAATAATTGGATATTTAATGTGTAACTAAACAATAAGAGAATTCAGGTACAACATGGAATAATTTCATTTTCTGCTCCACAAAATTAATTTGTAAATTTCTAGTTAGATGTTTTATACAACATTGGGTTTCTATTTTGGTGTAGACTTGATAGACCAACTGCCCTTGTTTTGTCCTGTAACATTCAATGATTAAATGGCAATAATTATTTGATGCAGGAACTGATTGAAGATCTCTTCAAAAGTTAGATTTTAGTTTATATTTGGTAACTGCAAGTGTTAAATTTAATTTAGGTGACATGTAAAATCAAAAACAACAAAACAAAACTCCAATTATCACCTGGTTGACTCTAGGCTGGTACAAAATAACAGATTCATGTCACTTATTCAAAAAGTAACTTTAAAATCTTCAGCTAGGTCCAACGATGGTAAACTAGAACAATGCTTGCGTAACAATTCCAGAGCTTGCTTATTTTGAGCATGTTGACATTTCTCCTTTTTCAGTTCAGTCTTTACTGTGTCCAATTCAGTTTGTCGTTTCTTCAGTTGTAAGCTTGATTTTTCTCTCCACCTTTCCAGCAGATGGACCTTTTCCAACTGATGCTCCTGTTCTAGCTGTTTCCAACTGGAAATGAGTTTCTGCTTTTCCAGGCGCAGATCCTGTGTTTCCAGCCTGTTCCGTTGCAACTGAGAGCTCAGGTTATGCATGGTCACCATCTTTTCTTGTAATTCTCCTTTAAGGCCCCGAATTTGCAAATCTTTTTTGATGCTTTCTTGCATGGTGTGTCCTAGGTACAAGGCATTGTTCTGTAAATCTAGTTTAGTCTTATGAAGTTCAGCTTCTTTGATTTCCAGGCACACCTTTAGTTTCTTGTTCCTTGTCTTCAGCTCTTCTGCCTGAAAATGCGCAAGTGCCAGCTGTGCTTGTAAATGTTGTTGCTTGATGTCTTTTCTACACTTCATTTCATGTAATGCGGTTAGTTCCTCAGTGTTCCACACGCACTGCTCTTCCATTCCATCAATTATATTCTCAGTACTTCCATCTGATTTTTCTGATTTAACCATCCCAGCATGACGGTTTCCGTACATCTGTAATTTCAGGTCTTCAATGGGAGTTTGAGTATTTGCTGCTGATACAGTCTGTCCCGAAAAGTAGGCTTTTCTTTTAAGTTTCTGTTCTTGTTGGAAATTCTCAATGTTCTGCTGGTAAATGTTTTTAATTCTTTTGACTCTCCTGACAGCAAAGTTTTCAGAAAGCAGTACTGGCTCCGAAATAACACCCACCCCAATAAGATCTTGCATATTGAAACGTGGAGGAAATAATGCTTCAACCCAATGGTGTTCCTCCATCTCTTGGAAGCTCCTATGAAACAAAATCATTAAACAGTTATCATTCAAGAACATAAATGCTTTATCTCATAGGTTAGTGAACTCCAAATACAAACGCACAGCAGATGCAGTAATAACATGCTTAATGCAAAGTTATACACTTTGATATGAATAACAGAAAGGAAGAGTATTGTTTAAATGGTGATTATATTGGAAAGTGTGGATGCCCAAAATGATCCACCAATCAATGAAAGTAAATAGGCAGGTGTAGCATGCAATTAGGAAGGAAAATGGTATACTGATCTTCATCGCAAGAGGATGAGAGGTTAGAAGTAGGGTTGTCTCACTGCAGTTATATAGGACCTTGTTGAGACTATACCTGAAGTACTGTGAGGAGTTTTGGTCTCCTTACTGAGAAAGGTATATACTGGCCTTAGAGGGAGTATAGCGGAGGTTCACTAGGCTGATACTGGGGATGGCAGGACTGTTGTATAAGGACAGACAGGTTCGATGGGTCTGTATTGACTAGAGTTTAAAATGGTTAAAACGATCTATGATTGAAAAGTATAAAATTCTACAGGGCTTATGAGACCAGATGCTGGGAGGATGTTTCCCCCGGTTTGGACGGCTAGAACCAGGAATCACATTCCCAGAAACATTTCTTCATTCAGAGGGTAGAGAACTTGTGGAATTTTCTACGACTAGAGGATTAGCCCTGATCATATTGAATGGCACAGCAGGCTGAAAGGGTTGATTAGCCTACCTGCTCCTCGTTTCTATGTTTTAGTGGGGCAGATTTTCCGATGGCCAGACAATTATTACGCTGGCATGGCACGCTGGCAGACTTCAAAGGAATTGCCTGGATAATTCCTCTATGCCTGGTACCTTCTAAATGTTTCCATAAAAATTGGAGACTTAGATGCCTGTAATGAAATTACGTAAAGCAATTTTTCAGGAGAATGTAGACTACTTAAATACATAGTCCATCTCCTGAGTTACTATTAAACTGAATCCTTACTTACCCGACATGCACCCTGACTACACAATCAGACACTCACCTGACAGTCCATGAACCACCCAGGCATCAAGGACCCTACCCGCCATCTCGGGATCTGGGTGCCCCACTCTCCCACAGACACCCTTCAACAGACCTGATCCCCAATATTCAAGTTCCCCCTCTCCCTACGCCCCCTCTTGCTCCCCCCCCCCCCCACCCCACCCCCCCCCCACTCTCCCCCCCCCCCTCCCCCCCCCCCCCCCCTCCTCCCCCTCTCCCCCTCCCCCCTCACTCCCCTTCTTCTTCCTCCTCCGTTTCGATTGTTTTGAACTGAAACCGCGGGGTCACGTGTACTGATATAGCCGTGGTTCGGCATGATGACGTCATGTGATCCGGTGGCCTGCTGGTTAGAGTGTTCGCCCGAAGTCCTGATGCTGCTCGGATCGAATCCAGCTGCAGGGAAGGATAGTTCCAGCTTTAATAAAACTTCTGAGGAAGGGTCACCAAATCCGAAACATTAACTCTGATTTCTCTTCACAGATGTTGCTAGACTGCTGAGCTTTTCCAGCAACTTCTGTTTTTGCTTCTGATTTACAGCATCCGCGGTTCTTTCAGTTTTGACTTCAACTTTAAACAGTTAACAATTTTGAGAAAGAAAGGCATTTTTTGCAGGATTATGGAAGAAGGCGATTCTTTGCAGAACACCTACGCTCGGTTCGCACTAAACAACTGCACCTCCCAGTCGCGAACCATTTCAACTCCCCCTCCCATTCCTCAGACGACATGTCCATCCTGGGCCTCCTGCAGTGCCACAACGATGCCACCCGAAGGTTGCAGGAACAGCAACTCATATTCCGCTTGGGAACCCTGCAGCCCAATGGTATCAATGTGGATTTCACAAGTTTCAAAATCTCCCCTCCCCCTACCGCATCCCAAAACCAGTCCAGCTTGTCCCTGCCTCCCTAACCTGTTCTTCCTCCCACCTATCCCCTCCTCCCACCTCAAGCCGCACCTCCATCTCCTACCGACCAACCTCATCCCGCCCCCTTGACCTG